ATCCGACTGATGATCATTTACCAAATAAGGTAAGATCATCGATGACCAAATTTGGTATATTCCCAGACTGTATTAGTTGTCTGATCTTAAATTACATATATATCTGATATATCAATTTATCTGAATCTATTATTTCTGAAATCACAAACTTAACTGAATTAGCCAAAAATCATTTGACCAATTTTTACAAGTATTCCAGAAATTATTATAATAGCTATAAGATTAGAAATTGTAAGAATCAGAAAAATTCTGAAAAGAAAATGAACAAATATAAAAGATGAACAAAGTAAAGCTGATAATTTCTAATTAAATAAAATTTACTATGTATACATTCCATACTCTTTCCTCTTTTGAAAAGGGATACAGTATAAACTATCAAATCAAGCTGGTCTCACCTTATTATCTCTAAAATTTGTGAATTCAGGATTAGAGTTCATGTAATAATAAGGTGTGATTGATCGAGATTATATATATTAAAAATTCTGTGAAGCATGTTATAATGAAAATCTGTTTACTATAAATATTAGGTTTTAATATATGTTAGCAGAGTATAACCATTGAAGAGAGAAGAGAATTTGCTATAAAAGGTATTAGTGTAAAAAAATATATATATATATATAAGCTTATCACTTCAGATTTTGCATATAAGTTTCGCTAGCATCATAATTACGTAGTTTAATCATACTCTTCAAAAAGTAATTGGTTAGTTAGAATTAATCAGAGGTTAATTTTAATTAATTAAATAATCATAGTATTAGTTTCAGTTATAATATATAAGAAATATATAATCATTAGGAGTCAGGAAGCAAGCTAAAATGTTATATAAGTAAAATCAATAATATAATTATATAATTAATGTAATTAGCTTAAAGTCAAACATAAAATATATAGAATGCATAAAAAAAAATTTTCCACTTCTTGTTTTAAGTAAAAAAACAGTAAGATCAACAAATATGACCCTATATCTTCATATTAAGATATTGATATTTTGACTTTAACTTGATGTCATCTAAATAATAAGCTGTGAAAAAAGTGGTAATATACCAGAGTATCTTTCTGCAATAATGAGTTCATTCCCTTCACAATCCAAAGAATTTGGGTTTGACAATGACTATAATAATAATCATGTTAATAACTATGATAATGACCAAAATGGCTATGAAAATAATCATGAAGATGACTATGAAAGTGATTTTGCTAATAATAATATTAATATTACTGCTAGTAAAAAATAAGACTGGAGTGAGGTGTGGCTTTTTTTGACAAAGTTGTATAAAAAAAAAACAAAAATTTGCTAAATATAAAGCTTCGAAATGTACATATGAGAAATTTTCTTACAAAAATAGAGATTCAACTAGCACCCTATAGCACCACTTAGAAATGTACATTTGATTCAATATATCACGACAGAAGAAATAAGAAAAAAAGAAAATATAAAGTGAAGATGGTGAAATTATGAAGGCATTCAAAAGGGTGTGTTACTTTTTTTTTTACAATTTTTGGGCTAATCTAATGTGAAAATCTTATCTTAGAATTCTAAAAACCCTTCTGCTACAATGCTGACTGATGCTGATAATATAAAACTTCACAATATATTCGCTATTTGGATCATCAATCGTTAACGCTCATTTACAATAATTGAAAACCCTGAGCTGATCGAAATTATACAGTATTTAAATTCTACAGTATATCTAGTCAAAGCAGATACAATAAAGAATGCAATTACATTATTTTATAACTCTGGAAAAAGAAAATTGAAGGCAAGCTTCATGATTATTATATCCTTACTAGTATTCGAAATTTATAGCTCAAATATATATATTTTTTTTGTTTCACTTTGGCAGATCATGCCAGTACCTTTATTTAATAAAGCACCATTTGTGGAAGTACTATAATATTAAAGCTACAGGTCTAACATCCTGCGGTTACCTCATGTAACCTAACCAATTACCTACACACATCTACAGATAACTATGCCATATCAGAGAAGTACGATCAATTAAGATAATACCCTACTGAGGGCTTGTCTGACTACTGCTTTACAATAGGATATCACCAATCTGATAATATCTTCTCAAAGAAAAGTGAAAGAAAAAGAAAAAAACTTATATGAAAAAAAAATACAGAGGTATAGGGGAATACGTAAAAAAAAACAAATAAAAGTAAAGAAGAAGTAAGGGTAAAATGAAATATGGGATTTTCACTCATACCAGACAATCACAATTATAAACCTATGTTGGGCTCTTTAAAAATTACATACTACTATTTAAATTATTCTCTATACTAATTTATATACATAGTATATTTAAACTTAAAACCTAAAAAAAAAACAAAAAAAAAAAGCTTCTTCGACAATTAGCACCATAGAGAGGTCAGAAAATCATACCATTGAGCTCGGAGCATTGTTTGTCCAGATCATTATATCTGAGGTATGTAATTATAGGTCTACTACTAGAGCTTCGATCCTTAATCCGACTATCTGAATTGATCTTTAAATTCAGGTAGATTCAGATATTTAGATCAGAGAT